GCCTATATTAAATGAAATATAGTTTCCGGAAGGTTTTCACATATAAGATTTCTTTTAAATGCACAAATATTATTGTACTATTGATATATGTACTTAAGGCTAAAGTGGTAGTTTTTTTAAATTTCAGGTAATGTGAAATTTGTTGTAAAGTAACAGTATTTATATATATTTTCTTTGACAGAGGCAAATTAACAAATCCGTTAGCAATCTTTCATTACGTCTTTGAGAATACTGTTTTAAAATAAAATATATATTATTCATCTAAACAACTCACTGCATAATTTGAGAGTAAATATACTGCTGCTACAGTACCCATCATCAAATTGCTTCGAGGCCACGGAAGGAAGCCAGCCTTATCATCGCGTGGCCCAAAGTTGCTGACTTTTGTTAAACTGCCAGTTTTGGACAGTCTTCACTGGCCTACGCTCCGCTGTTTACGTAAACGTAGAATTTTATTTTGACCTTAAATCTTTCAGTTTGTTGGCGACTACTATTAGTGTATACAAAGATGTATTACGCAATGGGAAGAAATACTGAATATTCGGTACCCTAAAATAGGCTGTCAGGAGAAATTACTTTGGATGTTGTCCACGAGCTCGGTCCCACCTGTTGGACGAGGCGGGCGGAGTCCCGTGAACGTTTAGTCGTGCGTGACCGTGTCCAGCCTCCTCTGTTCACGTCTGAGCTGAATTATTGATAGCTCTGTGGTACGGACTTTTATGCTTTCGTAAGTGAAACATGACAGAATCGAGCTACGCATCTCGTGGGTTACAGAAAAACACGAAAGAATTACAGCATTTTAAGATGTGTTGTTCGATAAATGATCCAAAACCAGTGGCTTTGTGACCACTTTGTCCGCAAACGGCATGATCGTAACTAACCGCGAAAATTGCTTTGAACTATCACAGGCGCTTTACAGACCAGCTTCCTCTAACAACAATATACTTATAATGTTAAAAGTAGTATGAACTTAATCCATGAACGCATAGTTTCATTACATTTTACACAGACTGCTTGAATTTGTTAAGATATGAGAAATGAGTTTCATCTAATTCACTTAACAAAATAGTAATTCAAAGAATACTGTATGCAGATTATCAAGTACCAATAACAAAATCTGTCGACGAACTACAATTAGCAGCATGCCAGCTAAACAAAATTTCTCGCAAATATGACATGAAAATTTCCACTTTAAAATCTAAAACAATGCGAATGTGTGGAAAAATATACATTGAGTGAAAATAGAAGTAGAAGGAAAAATAATAGAGCAATTTTCTGATTTTACGTGCTTGGGAAATACATTTTTAGACCACAAAAATTATATAGATATAAAATTACAGAAATATAATAAGATGAATTGTGTTATTAGAAGACATTTTGGCAAACAAATGACAGTTGATACGAAATTGCGTTTACATAATATTACCTCAAGATCAGCACTCAGTTATGGCAGTGAAATTCTGGAAGTACCTACTTAATAAAGGCATTCTCCAGAGCTCCAGATAGCCAAGCTGGTTCTTCAGTAAGACGATTGTGTTGAGGCACGCATGCTATTTTGCTATGCGTAATCACTGCGTCTGTTGCCGCGTTTTCTAGTCCTAGCGGCACAGCCACCAGATGCCCACTGTTATAACAAATAACGGACTGTCGGTTATAGTTTTAATGGTATTGCTGCTGTTGTTTCAGACATTCAAAGTCATGTTGTGATGTCACAGATTTCCTAGTTGAATATTAATTGCTTTACATCGTTTCTTTATTCAGTTACTAACAAAATTATCGCAAGCAAAAGTTGCATTCTGGGACGCTCTGTGGAGCATTTTCTCTTGGCAGACGTGATCGCATTGCCACCAGTTGCCTTCGTTGAAGTGTTCTTTTCTTGGATGCATTCCATGACCAGCGTCGGTAAAATGCTTTTTTTATATATTATCAACAGGTGTCACATTGTGGAGCTGCCTGGTCGTTGCCAAAATAACCACTTGTATCGTTACACTGTAAAAAATCAAGTTTCTTGAATAATACCGAACTTAATATTTTCATATATAAAAATTTGTATCGTAATATTAAAATCACTAATAACGAATCACGAAAACATGTGTAGCTATTTTGTTGAGCATACCGGAAATCCCACGAAACGTCTGTCAAACATTGGGTTGTTATTCTTTGACTTGTTTTTAGTGAAAAGTGTTACATTCAACAGGGATCGAAATCCCAACCGTCCTGTCAAGCACCATCTGCGATTCTGCCTGAATCTCTTCTATCGTCTCACATCTCCTTCCCTTTAGCTGAATTTTCATCTTTGGGAAGAGGAAGAAGTCACACGGAGCTTAGAAAGGAAGTTGGGGTCGGTTCTTGCAAGATCTTTGAGCTCCTGACAAACGAGAAGTCAAGTCGATTCTGCTTCTGGTCCTCAGACAGGAGCCTTGGTTTCGCATGTGGAGTTCTTCCTTTAGAATCAGCTGACAGGTCCCAACAATGTCGCACAAGTCGTTGATGGTACGACGTCGATCTTCGTGAATGGCCTGCCGAATCTTGGTAACATTTTCGGGCGTTGTGCTCGAAGATGGTCGTCCAGAATGCTCGTCATCATCGACAGGGGTTCGGCCCTTTTTAAAACGTGAATGCCACACAAAAGTTTGCGGACTCCCCAAATGCTTGCTTTAGCATTTCATAGGTTTCCGTAGCCGTTTTGGCGAGTCTTTGGCAAAATTTGATGCACACGCCATTCCGAAATCGCAGGAGGGTCGGTGTAATTCACTACCAAAACGCCAGTAACTAAGAAACAAATGCTAATTCGATGATGCCGGCTGGCACACTGATTCACTATGAATGTAGGTCGCACCCCCTAGCGGCAGAAGCTCGTACTACATCCGGTTCGCCCGCTATTGACACAGTCTTGAAACTTTCCGATCGCACCTCGTACTTATAATGGATAGAAATACACCTTACTCATTACACTGAAAAATTGGTAAACTCCAGCCACGCTACACAGTGTTACAACCCAGCCTTCTTTACTTTGATATTAGTTTGTAAAATTTTGAAAAGCTTATTGCAGTATCTGGTTGTGTATCATTAAAGTCTATGCGTACAGGTTTCTTTGAGGTTATGCAGCTCTGCTGTTCATGTTTTGTCTCCACTCAATTTCAGAGGGTTTGTCATTTACTGTTTTGTTATTGATCCATGGCATATTACAGAATCTCCTAATCGTTCTGACACTGAAACAGTGGAGAAAACTAAGTGATACCAACGTGTAGTTGCTTGATATCGTGAGCTGTTTTGATAACGCCAGTTTGCATAACATTCTGGGCATGCGCATAATTATCCTACCTTTCCTATCCTGATCTAATCTGACCTCTCCACCGGTGATAACCGTCTGTGCACATATAGCAAGTAGTGGTTCGAAGACTTTACGTGAAATTTTGCGTGGACGTCGTGCCATAGTGAAAATAGGAACTGCGTACTTTGTGAATTTCAACACTCTTCTCCAACGCGATGTATTCTCGAAGTCGTACTGTGGAGTGATGACACCTTCGCCCATGCTCAGCACTTCTTGTCGATGTTCAGAGATTCAGGCTTGTTGAAGGATATGTCTGGTAATTTAGTCTCTCTGCGTTAAAAATCGAGATTGGCGGGACAGATTCAAACCAGCGAGCCTCTTGTTGAAGCAGTTAAGAAGACCCACTGTGCAGTTCAACATCTTAGACGAAATCTTCATTTCGACACTCCCTCCAATCTTCCTTCTGATAAAAATCAAAGTAATTACTCATATAGCTGTTTTCGTGCGTACTGTACTTGGGTTTAAGCTTTGCCTGCCTTTGACTAAAATGCCACTACACAGCAGAATTGTGATATTGGACAATTTGTTTAAATCCAACTCCTTCAAAATAATCCTTCTTCTCTGGGTTCATTTTTATATTATGAATCCTTTTTGTGTCTTTATATCCGAAAATTAAAGGGGGGAATTTTATCCCTTTGCTGTATTCTACAGCTTTCGTTTTTTCTTCTACTTCTCCTTTTTGTAACTTATAGCAGCAAAAGTAGGTACATAAATCCATTATCCAGCAAAATCCTATTTTCAGTCCATCTCTCGGGGTCAGGATGGTGGGTTAGTGACGTCAATCTGGTTAACTGGTTTGAATAATTCTGTAGAACTGAATGAGGGTAATCAAAAGCAGAATGCAGATGATAGACGAAGGGATTTAATAGATATTACCATTACATAAGCAGTTACTCATTTTGATGATGTTAATGAAGACCAATAAACCAGTCTGTGACAACTACGTCAGTAAGGCAAATTATGTTAGTAATATCTGACCCATTTCTGAAGATACATGTACTACTATCATTTTACTGTATAGTGATTCTTGGAGAATATCCTATAATTCAATATCCAGCAGAACCAGCAATTGCATTGACAAAAAATATCACGTAATTTGAAGATTTCTGTCTTCTGGGTTGTTGCGCTTTGTAGTATGGTCAATGTTTACCAACGTTTCAGAGGTCATACTGCTTCCGTCATCAGGGCGATTCTTAGTATGAAGATTTCTGTCTTCTGGGTTGTTGCGCTGTGTAGTATGGTACAGGTTTACCAACGTTTCAGAGGTCATACTGCCTCCGTCATCAGGGCGATGATTATGAAGATTTCTGTCTTCTGGGTTGTTGCGCTGTGGAGTCTGGTCGATGTTAACCAACGTTTCAGAGGTCGTACTGCCTCCGCGATGAATCGCCCTGATGATGGAGGCAGTATGACCTCTGAAACGTTGGTTAACATTGACCAGACTACACAGCGCAACAACCCAGAAGAGAGAAATCTTCATACTCACCGCTGTGAAAACCTCAAATCTTACATCAAGTAATTTGTTTTCGCAACGCATGTAGACATTAATCTTAAAAATTTATCGAAATATTACACCCATCTATGTTTTTGCCTCAGTACTTAGCACTTCTCCTTTACCTGAACACACACGCAGTTTCCTTACATTCGTTTAATTTTATTGTTTCAGGGAGCTTCCTCAAGCCTTGTAGTGAAGTTTGCGGACACAGAAAAAGAACGTCAGCTGCGTCGCATGCAACAGATGGCTGGCAACATGAGTCTCCTTAACCCTTTCGTCTTCAACCAGTTTGGGGCATATGGTGCCTATGCACAGGTACACAGCACTCACTGTAATTGTTTCTAGATATTCTTATACCATCGACCAAATCACGCTGCTTTAACTTACAATATATAACACACATAGTTCCATTTTTATCAACAGTACCTATTTCAAAATAAACCCTACATTATGCCAGAACTTTACCTCAATTTTGACTTAATTTTACATTATATAGATTATGTAATCCTACAACCAAAATTTTCCAAATCTACAAGATGTAAAAACTCATTCATATAATATTATATACTTAAATTGCGGGTCCCAACTTTTCGTTGGCTTTTATGTATAGACATTCGGTAGGACTCCTTGGATGAGGGATCGGCCCGTCACAAGGCCTCTACCTGTGCACAGGACAGCACAACACAGAAAAACACGGACAAACATCCATGGCTTGAGTGGGATTCGAACCCACGGTTCCAGCGACCAAGCGGCAACAAGGCCCACGCCTCAGACCGCGCGGCCACTGCGGACCCCGAGTATAATATGCTGAATTCTTGTCTGATATGTGTTTGTTCTTGCTTCTCTTCCACGTGTCATGGTACTTTGCGGGTAGCCCATGCAGCAACAGGCAGCTCTGATGGCAGCTGCTACAGCTCAAGGCACCTACATCAATCCTATGGCAGCTCTTGCTACACAGATCCCTCATGCAACCCTTAATGGCATGGCCAACCCCGTCGTACCGCCCACATCAGGTAAGATTCTGAGATATTTTAAGAGGTCAAGTGTAGATTTATTCAGACGCTTATGAGTGTGCTGGAATAGTAAATTAAAGTTAATGCAAGTTCTGAAGAGCATGTAGATGCAAAGTTGAGAGAAACAAGAATTTTTCGTGTTATTTTCTCTCCACAATGCTCTGTACTTTGACCCTTATTGTCCTATTCCAGTGCAATTAATGTTAACATTTTAATAATAGCATTTGTAATTTGGTAGGATATCTGGTGGAATGCAACAAAACTTGTAGAAAGATACGCTTTGTTTACTTATTTTTTCTTGTTGGCCTGAAAAACAAAATTATCTTGGAGTACTATAAAGTGGATAATACTGTCCCGATTAATCCTTCAACGACATCCGACACACATACCACGCGGCGATTTAAATTGTATGTCGCCGTCCGACGTACATAACACGCCTAGTGCAGGAGTAAGCTCAAGCTTACATTTTGAGTAGTTGTTTTTTATGTAAAGCAATTCTTTTGGTACAATATTAAAGAGGGAATTGTGGTCTATTATCTCATATATGTGGTTGTACTTTAATTTTCCCGCTTCACACAAATTAAATAATAAATCTGTTAAAAAGTTCTTAGCCTTGCCGGTTGGAGCGTTACATTACGGTCAGATCCTTTGTCCACCATAAGGAATTCTTGCGATCTAAATACGTTAGATCGATATGAATTGAGACAGCGATCGACTGTGTGCTCTGTACATGCTGATCGAAACAAATATCGACCTTGTTGGGGGTTTCTCAAACACACAGTTCAGACAGTGCTGCCTTCACTTAGGCATTTGTAACAACAGGAGCTGGCAGAATTTACAGCGTTATCTTGGCCTATGATGTTGACTCATAAGGGTATGATAGAAGACTTCCAGTCACGTACGAAACAAAAACAATTCTCAGCACGTGGAAGCCATGGCGTCTAATGACAAGAAGCGGTCAGCTGTTTTGTATGATGACGTGAAAGACTGTTTACTTGCAAGCGAATCTGAAGAAAGTTTATCAGATTCAAGCTCAATATCTAAGGCAATAAAATACTAATCTTTCGTAATTCCAAAAGTTTACTGTGCCAAAACTAATTTTAAAATATATTGCCGATATTCCGATTCCGTGTACTTCTCAAAACAATGTCGAAATTACAAGGGGATTTTTTTTTTTGAATGTATTGCTATTGAAATGAATTATTGTACTTTCTAGATTTAATATTTAAATATCCTCCGTCCCTGGGAGTGACTAAGAATTAAATAACCCTTGCCGTTGAGGGGTTAAATAGGTTATGAGAGTGTGGATTGGATTCAACTGGCTCAGGATAGGTCCAGTGGTGTGCTTCTGTGAACTAGATGATAAACCTTTGGGTTCTTGACTGACTCACTGAATAATTATTAATAACTCTGCTGCATGTGACTAACTCAAGGAACAGTTTTTCCATTAATCCTAAGCAGCAAGTTCCTAACCTAACAGTTACATTCACTGCTTTGGAGAAAAGATAAGCACAAAGTAAATTATTGATTGTGGTCTTCTGAGTTGTAACACATCAGATGGAGTCAATTTATTGCTCTGATATTTTGTTTACAACCAAGAGGTCCTCCCAGCCCCCTATCCATTGGGTACCAGGGTCCTTTCCCAGGGGTGCAGTGCAGCCAGGACATGATGCTGACCACTCACCCCCATCTAGTGCCGAGATTAGAAAAGAGTAGGAGCTATACCTCCTCTCCCCCCAAGCACCTACATGGCGTTTAGTGGAACAGCTTTACTTTTTTACTTTTTACCTAGAAGAATGAAAACAGCGCCTAAACTGCAAATTCCAACTACCGCGAGTCTTAATGACAATACGTTGAATACACTAAGACACTGTGTTTTGGAGACTTCTAGAAATCCCGTAATTCAGTTAGGAGATTAGTATTATACAACATTCTGATTGAATTTGATATATACCAGTGAAACATGTTGGGCAAATTTAATTGTGAAATTAAACCTGTAGCAAAATCCACGTAGATAAACATTTACCTGATGCATTTCCTACTCAGAATGATCTGAAATCAGGAGATGATTAGTCATCATTGATTTTCAGCTTTGTTTCAGAGAATACCATCAGAAAGGTATGAGAAACAAAGGGGGATTGGAATGGAATGAAATTATCAGCTTTATGATCATGATGTTAATTAATTGGATAAAAACATAAAGAAAACACAGAAGCCTTTTTAGAATCTAGCAAGGAAGTTTGTCTAGAAATAAAGACGGAGAATTAATTACAGTATATGTTCATGTCCTGTCATCAGAATGCAGAATAAGATCATAATATGAAGGTAGCTAATAATCGTAAAATCTAAGGTTTTCTCAGCAGTGAGTATGAAGATTTCTGTCTTCTGGGTTGTTGCACTGTCGCTCTGATGATTGAGGCAGTATGACCTCTGAAACGTTGGGTAACATTGACCAGACCACACAGCACAACAACCCAGAAGACAGAAATCTTCTAGCTAATAATCCTTTGAAGAGGTGGAAAATTTAAAATATTTGGGAACAACAATAACAAGTCTAAATTAGATTAACAAAGAAATTGAATTAAGAGCCTAGTAAATTCTAAGAATGTTTGTTGTCATGCAGATGAAACTCTATTGTCATCCTGTTTGCTGTCATTAATGAATCCTGCCTTTCTGGGAATTCAACCCTGGTCATCCAGCTCATGCCCTAGTCACTGTACAGTTTGAGCCATTGTGGCTGCAGCAGATATTGATATGTCGTGGCTAACGTGATATTTGCTATAAGCATTCTTAATGCTTATCTTTATCATGAGGAATTGTTGATCTTGGTCACAGGTAAACTGTGGCAGATGTAATGTACCAGTGAGACAATTAAGGTGAGAATTTAGTGTCAAGATCAGTTTAAAAATCTATTTCTGTTAACTGTACAGATTTGAAAGGTAACTGTTGCCTCTAACAAACATAAAATTTATGGAGGACTGTGATGATAAATAATAGACGTGCCTTCCAATTTAAAACATACAAGGTATTGTATCTAGCAGCATTTATAAAAATATGGATTTTTTTTGCTTTCTGGTAACTTTTTATCACTTTTATATAAAGGTTTGTATTCACCAGTGACCAATGGAAAAACCAAAATAGATGCTCAACAAACTTGCTTTACTGAAAAATAATTAAATTAAGACTTTCTTGTAGTGATGATTTGGTGTAAGGCCCTTTTGAGTTCCATCCACAAAAATTATTCTTGTGATGTACAATGTGCATAGTAAGAGAGGTCTGTTTTATCTTATTTGTTGCTGGTCTTGTTACATATATAGTTTATTCAGGGTTCTATTTGTAATTATTTTCAGTGTACTGTAGTATACTTCAAATATTTCTCTTTTTATAACCTGAAAATAACAGAGTAAAATACATTGTTGCAGTACTTTTTATTCAAGAATCCATTTTTGTCTTTTCACAGTTTCATCAGCCATCCTTGTCCGTGTATTAGTTTGGTTTATCACACCCATGTTTTCAAATTTTGTTATCTTAGGTAATTCCTAACAGGCCTAAGTTAATTAAAATTTTTAGTTACATACTGATGATGTACAGTGGGAAGCATTCATACTTGCACATGTCTTGGAATTAAGGCAAATCTCAAGAATGTATGAATATACAGAGTGCTGTTAATATAAAGCAATAATTGCAGATGATAACTTTATATTAAAAATAAAGATAAAGAAGCCTTTGTGCTTAATAAGCACATCTTGAACACATATGAGGGATTGAGTACAAAGTTGCAAGTGTTCTTAACCTTAATGGAATGAACGGTCATTACCCATTGCATATAAGCTAGGTAGTCTCAGACCCTGTTTGAAGTCAATGATGAAGATAGAAGTCATTTTTCAAAGATTTCCGTCTTCTGGGTTGTTGCGCTGTGTAGTCTGGTCGACCAGACTACACAGCGCAACAACCCAGAAGACGGAAATCTTCATACTCACCGCTGTGAAAACCTCAAATCTTACAAGTCATTTTTCCTTCCAAGAATATAACCCCATTCATCCAGCCCATAACTGAGTTATTCCAGACCATTGTAGTTCAGATCGGTTCTTGTGGTGGCTGATGTATACAAAGTAGGAAAATTAAGTATGAATTCAGTGTAAGGCAAAAGAATATGAGTAACAGTAATTTTGGCACTGTTACTTTCTAGTTATACATAAATTTCTTGATACATATTTACAGAATCCTCATGTAGTCAATTAAACATTATCACTATCTCTTGAATAATATTAATGAGGGTTATAAAAGTATTTTATTCCCCTATCAACAAATATAGCCCTGAATTTTGTTTAGTTGTTAGAACCATGCTTCAGTTCGATATCATTGTAATTCTATTTCAACTAATCAGCTCTTATTTTAGGTTCGGGTTCAGGCCAGCCCGTTAATGGCACCATTCCTAGCCTGCCTTCCCCGACCATGCCCAACTTCAACATGGCAGCACAGACCCCAAATGGGCAACCTGCTGGTTCCGACCCATCCGTCTACACAAATGGCATTCCGCAGACATATCCTGCACGTAAGTATCTCAACTACCTCATCCTTACCCACCTTATTCACTTTTCAGAGGGGTATGTCCAAAAATGGTATCATATGCTTTCTTGTTATCATCTCTTCCTTCTGTATAATGTACTTTCTAATTAATCTTCTGTGTTCACTCATGCCAGCATTGGGACTGCAATCATTACGAGTTGATTACTTTGATGTGATATGCTCTGTTACAGTGAGACTGGTGAACATGAATAAGAGGCATTCAGCCAATGTGGAAGCCTGCTGAATTTCATTATGGGAATAAATATAATTTTCATATACTATGGAACATTAGTTGCATCATTGACATAAGTAATACTTAAAAAGAAAAATGTTAATGTTTTTTATAAGCCTTTCATCCATCCAGCATTCCTTGGTTCTGGTCTGGTTGTTAGGAAGTTGTATGTATTAGCACATAAAGTGATCTGTGTCTACCAATCTTTTGTTTTGTTTTGTTTTTTCTTCCCTTTGGCACCTATTTCATGTTTTAAGCTAGCATTAAACAGAACCGTGGCAATAAATAATATAAAACTGTGTGATGTCACATCCTTTCACATTATTTTCTTTGGATACCAGAAATATATGTTGTTTCATAACATTTCATAATAAATAATTTTATTATATTAGTAAATTCTGTTTCAGAAAACCTGTACAGCGAACTGTGATTTTAGTAATTCAT